TGTATGTTCTCTATAACCAATAAGTCAAATGTATCAAGAAAATAGAATTTGCACCAATATTGAACACATAGAAATGATCTGAGTTCCAATTGCTGTCTTTCATGTTCCATGATGTCTACAACATATGCCATTTAATATTATGAAACTGTCACCAGTTTGTTGTTGTTGCTATTATTTGGGGAGGGTGACATTGAAAACATAAGATAAGGTTCTGGGAAGTGGTTAGAGCTATTTTTGTACATTGTCACACACTTAGGAAGCTTTTCATTCAATTTTCAGGTGAAGATCAATGGAAAATTCTGGCAAACATATAAAACTGGGAGCAGGTTGGGAGGTTTCAGAAAATGGAAAAACGTGAATCACGGGCTATAAGGCTCCACTTTCCCTGCCTTCCCACTCCCTTGGATGTGTTGGAAGATGAAAAGCAGAAGTCTGTCTCTCCTTCTGTCTGACAACTTCAGCACTGCAAAAGATATGCAACCTTTTTAACCAGTGTTTGGATTATGCAAGGTTTATACCATGTGTTGTTGAAGGCTTTCATGGCCGGAATCACTGGGTTGCTGTGAGTTTTCTGGGCTGTATGGCCATGCTCCAGAAGCATTCTCTCCTTACATTTTGCCTGGACATTCCACAGATATATAAACCTTAGTTGTCTAGTTTCCAACAGACCTCACAACCTCTGAGGATGCTTGCCATAAATGTGGGTAAAACATCAGGAGAGAATGCTTCTGGAACATGGCCACAGAACCAGGAAAACTCACAGCAACCCAAGATTTATACAGTTTTGGAGCACAGAAGCATAATACAACCCCTCAACAACAAAAGACACATATCTTTGTTATACAAGTGCTTTTTCAGGAAACATGAATTTGACAGCGGAATATTAGACTTGTTAATCCACCTTATCTAGCCATTCTGAGGTACAATAAAATGGCCACAAATATTGTGCTATATAACTGCCAATACACCTAATAGTAGGACCTAAAGCTACAGCATTCAAGGGGTTGCAGGTATACCAAACAAATCTCCATGACACACAGTAGAGACAAATATGACATTTAGGAAACGTTTTCATTAGCAATAAATTCAAAAACTATTCCACAAGCTGACAAGTGTAGTTTACTCTTCTGCTGCTTTAATACAGTACAGATCGGAGGAGGAGGAGGAGGAGTAAAGATTGGAAAGTGGTGGTGATTTGTTCCACTTTTATCATTATGCACTGATTTGCTAAACTGCAGCAACAAAAATAAGCTCAACTACAATATCCTTTGGAGATTTATAAAGCTGTCAGACTTGCATGTTCTAGACATAAAGTCCTAGTGGGAAAATGGACTAAGCAGTAAACATTTCATAAATATTCAGTACTTCATAACTGAAGTCGCTCACTATTTATGTAAACAGCTGCAGAAAGAGAGTTGAAGTCCTAAGAATCCAAGCAATGACTCAATGTTTGGCTGTTATCACATGTTTGGTAGAATCCGCATGCATCATGCACAAAGCAAAATCTGAAGTCAGAATGACAAACCTCTCATTTTTACAGGCAAAAGTTCAGGTCACACTCCAGCAAGGGACTATAAAACTAATTCATAGAGTAGTTTCAAGAGGGCCTGAAAGACTCTTCCCATTGTGGCCCATGCAAGCCTTCCTTTCCTGTTCTTTTACTTCATAGGGAGTATCTACATGGCAGACTTAATGCAGTTTGATACCACTTTAATTGCCATGGCCCAATGCTATGGAATCATGGGAGTTAAAGTTTTACAAGGTCTTGAACCTCCTCTGCAAAGAGGGCTGGTGTTGCCTCAGCAGACTAAAACTCCATAACATCCATGGCCATGGTGTCATAACTGATAAATTCTACAATGTAACTGCACCCATATCTCATGATTGGCATGAAATCCTTGGATTCACCAGCTGGTTATGCCACAGCACTTAGGTACCTTGATGATACCAAAAAACAGTGAAGGCAACACTTACTCAGTGCTCTATAATACCAGGAACATTGAAGTAGAAGGCAGTCATTAACTATACTAAACAATTACAACTATATTTCTATCATGTATACTTTTGCAGCCACCAACTTGAGCAACAGTGTCAATATTTGTCAAGGGAGAACTGTGAAGGCTTGGAGAGGGGGGCACTAGGACCAGAAAATACCTCACTGTTGCTTCTGTTTCACCACTTATCCTCACAATAATAGTTGTCTGATACCAGAATAGACCATTTTAGGAGGCAATGGAATCGGATTATTTGAAGGTTCTTCAACTGTGGTTTGTTGACCATCTCTCAGTTCTCTTCCACACAGTTTTTACATCACTGGTTACCGGTTTTGAACTGGAATATCTGAGTCTCCAATGCCATACAATCTGGGATAAGCAGATAATCTGGGATCAGATCCTGGAAGGTAAGGACAGTATAGAAGGGCCCTGTGAAGTGTGTTAGAGCATATAAAATCAGCTGGTGAGTGTGTTAACTGAAAATGCAAAGCCTGAAGTTGATTGGTTGGGTTACACCCAACAGGCTAGCTGAGCCTGGGAGTTACATTATTAGATTGTTAGCTGTGCAGGACCTTGAAGAGAAACAGGATTTTGCTATCCTTATAGTTTTTGCCTAAATAAAGGCAGTGCAACTGTGGAATTCCTCCACATCAATTCAAATGTCCAGTTTGTAAGACCCATATCCATATTCCAAGGCACTGGACCATTAAGGTAAAGGTTTCCCCTGACACTAAGTTTAGTCATGTCCGACTCTGGGGGTTGGTGCTCATCTCCATTTCTGAGCCAAAGACCCCTCCAAAGTAATGTATAGAGCGTCTTTACCTTCTTGCAGAAGCGGTACCTACTGCACTACTCACACTTTCATATTTTCCAACTGCTAGGTTGGCAGAAGCTGGGGCTAACAGCGGGAGCTCACCTCACTCCCCGGATTTGAACCGCCAACCTTTCGGTCAGCAAGTTCAGCAGCTCAGCAGTTTAATTCGCTGCACCACCATGGGCTCCTATTACCATTAAAAACCACCATGTGCTCCTATTACCATTAAAAACAATCATACCAGCAAGGGTGAAAACAAATATTGTTGACCAACTATATTCCAGTTTCTATTGCTATACAGACAATCAGACATAATCAGGACATAATAATGGGAAGGACAGAATTCTGAACATCCCTCTCCAGTTTAAACTGTATCTGTATTATACAACCAACTCTGACCACTCTAGTTTTGAACTTCCTTGTGCTGCACTCTGAAATTTTAAATTCCATGTTACACCATGATTTTAAAATTTACATTTTATTTGTATTGACGTTTTAATCTTTGTTATATGTTTCTAATATATGTATCATGACATGTCTTTTAATATATGAATTTTAACGGTTTTCTGGCTCATCTATATATGTTAACTATGTTGTACTCTGCCTCAAGCCATAAGGAGAGGCAGGTAACAAATAAAATGTATTATTATTATTCTTAAAAAAGATGATTATTTTTCAGCACTCAAATGAGAAAAAGGACTTACATGCTACACAAAGAGGAACTTCCTCCCTTTTCCGCCTGCATGCATTCCAAACCAGAGGATTAATGATAGCAACTATTAAGACCATATCAGAGCAAAGGTCCCTCTGATCCCACATCCTGTTTTCGGGATCTCCAAAAATGCAGGACATGAATAGCGTTTCCAAGTGTCATTCTCCAGTGAAGACACAGTGAAGTCAGAATGATTAAAAGCTTTTTGCAAATGTGGGAATAGAGGCGAAAAAAGGAAAGGAGATCAGTATCATCAACTCTCATAAAGCAAATCAAGGGAGAATTGAAGGCACAAAGAGCCACTTTCTGGCACCACATCAGCTTCGAAGTCTCCAAAACTTCACTGTTATCACTAAAAAAAAACAAAACCCACAGAATTGGAAGGGATCCAAAGGGGCATCTAGTCCAACCCCATTCTGGAATATTAATATTCCATTGAATTGTTGCCTTTGTAAGGCCACCCTGAGTCCACTTTGGGGTTGAGAAGGGTGAGATATAAATGTGTTAAATAAATAATAAATACACAATCAAAGCCATCCCAACAGATGGTCATCCAATCTTTGACAACACATCCAACCTCTGTTTAAAAACCTGTTTTTCCTTAAAAGGGCATTGCCTCTGAACTGCAAGTATCTCTAGTCCATGTACTGCAATCCCCCCAATGCCACAAACCACACAACCCTGGCCATTTTCCATTGAATAAGTGAGATACTTTAACCCAAGACAGGCATGAATCCACCATGAGAAACTTTAAATACACCCCCAATAAAGCAGAAAACAAGCAAAGAAATGAGAAGAGCGCATATATATATATATATATATATATATATATATATATATATATAGCGCTTTCTCCAGAAAAATACCCCACCAACTATATACTGTATATAAAAATGAAAGAAATTATAAAACCACTATTACAGGACAGGAAAAGGGAGAAAAGCAAGACATCCCCACTCCAACGGCTCCTATTGCGAAAGCCTCTTTTTTCCCCTCGCAAAGGGTGCGTCTACACTGCAGAATGAATGCAGTTTGACACCACTTCAGCTGCCATGGCCCAATGCTGTGGACTCCAGGCAATTTTAGTTTTACAAGGCCCTTAGTCTTCTCTGAGAACAAGTGCTGGGGTCTCAGAAACCATACAATTCCAGGATTCCATTGAACTGAGCCATGGCAATTAAACTGGTCTCAAACTGCGTTAATTCTACCGCGTAGATGCCGCCAAGGACTCCTTTTTGCAAAGCCGGCAGCCGAATTGTCACTCAGTCTACAGGCTGCATTCGCATAAAATAAAAATTGAAAAAAGGGTTGGGTAGCCGAGGGGGAGGAAAAAGGGAAGAGAGAATGAGAAAGGACTTCCTCCTCTTTGAATTGGCAGCAGCTCCTCTCTCCCAAATATCCTCCTCCTCCAACCCAGCCATTTCTTCCCTTTCTTTCCTTCCCCGCCTCATTTTAAAGTAGAGTCTTGTGGCTGTTTTACCTGAAGCTGGCGAGCAAGGCAAGGCAAGTCCTCCAAACCCAAAGCCGACCCAGTTGGAGGGTGCCTTTAAGCGCCCTCCTCCTCGCCTTGGCTGCTTCCCTTGTGCGAGGATCCCTCCAGCGCGCGCGCGCTCCCAGGGACCAAAGCGCGCGCGCCCCTGCTTGCCGGTGCCCGCGTCACCAAAGGAGAGAGAGAAAGAGAGCGCGCGCGCGGAGCTCATTCATCCTCCTGCGCGCGCAGCTCCCAATAAATAAAGAAATAAATGAAGGCAAGGAGATGCGCGCGCAACTCGACTTACAGTATTCTCCAGCGAACCCCAGCTAAGGTCTGTAGCCCCGCCCCGCCCCTTTCCCCGCCCCTTTCCCCGCCCACTTCGTGAATAGGCGGAGAGAAGGATAAGATCAGCTGCTTCGTTCACAAGCTACGTGGGGGGTCTTGCCCAGTAGGAAAGGCGGAAGGAGGGGCGTCATTGGGGTGAAGCAAAGGACGGTGTGTTTGAAAGGAGTAAAGATGCAGGAGGGAAGGAAAGGGAGGAGGAATACAGATTGCCTCTACTTTTCACTGCCATAGCTCAAGGCTTCATATATTGCTGATATGCTGTACTAATAATATAATATATTGTATACACATATAATACTGATAATAGTATAATGTAATACAATAAAATAGTAATACAATATAATTATATTTTTTCAAATTACATGAAATATTGCTAATAATATTACAGTATACTGGTGTAGTACAATATAGTAATATATAATACTGATATTGTGCTGTGCTAATAATATATTGTATAGGTAAAGGTAAAGGTAGTCCCCTGACATTAAGTCCAGTCATGTCTGACTCTGGGGTGTGGTGCTCATCTCCATTTCTAAGCCGAAGAGCCAGCGTTGTCCGTAGACACCTCCAAGGTCATGTGGCCAGCATGACCGCATGGAGCGCCGTTACCTTCCCGCCGGAGCGGTACCTATTGATCTACTCGTATGTTTTCAAACTGCTAGGTTGGCAGAAGCTAGGGCTGACAGCGGAAGCTCACGCCGCTCCCTGGAATCGAACCTGTGACTTTTTGGTCAACAAGCTCAGCAGCTCAGTGCTTTAACCCACTGCACCACCAGCCCCCCCCAACGAATATATTGTATACACATATAATATTGATAATAATAGTATAATGTAATACAATATAATAATTATATATTTCAAATTACATGCAATATTGCTAATAATCTTACAGTATACTGGTGTAGTACAATATAGTAATATATAATACTGATATTGTGCTGTGCTAATAATATGTTGTATACACATATAATATTGATAATAATAGTATAATGTAATGCAATAGAAGACTACAATATAATAATTATATATTTCATATTACATGCAATATTGCTAATAATATTACAGTATACTGGTGTAGTACAATATAGTAATATTTAATACTAATATTGTGCTGTGCTAATAATATATTGTATACACATATAATGATAATAATATTATAATATACAATAGGATACTAATAATGGTGCAATACAATATAATAATTATATATTTCATATGACATGTAATATTACTAATATTACACTATAGTGGTGTAGTACAATATGATATTGATGTTGTGCTGTGCTAATGTATGGTACTGATATTGTGCTGTGCTAATAATATAATGTATTGTATTTACGTATAACTTGTAAGCCGCTCAGAGTGCCCTTCGGGGTGAGAAGGGCGGCCTATAAATGTCGTAAATAAATAAATAAATGCTATGGAATCCTGGGAGTTGTAGTTTGGGGAGTCACCAGGCAGCTAAAGACCTTGAAAAACTGTAACTCCCATCATTACATAGCATGGAGCAATGGCAGTGAATGTGATGTCAGACTGCATTCATTGTAAGGTGTACATCAGGCATGGGCAAATTTTGGCCCTCCAGGTGTTTTGGATTTCAACTCTCACAATTCCTAACAGCCAGTAGATGCACCACAAGATATCTCATTATGTTTACATATGCACTTACAATTACAAATCCCAAATACTTCTGGTCCCAATCATTTTCAATAAAAGATACTCAACCTGTACCAAATTTGTTAAGATGAGAAGGCAAAATTGAGTCTCCTTGTGGGGCATGAATAATAATAATAATAAAATTAAGTACAGGTTAATCTTAATACAGTAGAGTCTTGTTTATCCAAGGGGGGCTAAGTTTGGTTCAGGGGGGCTGAGTCTGAGTGAAAGAGGGTCTACCCTAGCAAACCTTTTGTATCGTTACCCCAATACCCCCATGCATATGGGATATATTGAGCATGGTGATCAGATCATGATATGAATAAACATAACAGTTTAAATAATGCACCAGTAAGGCCTTTTCGTGGAACCACCATGAGAATTTCGGGGGGGGGGGCTGAAGCCCCCCAAGCCCCCCCCCCCCCCAGCTACATGCCTGGGCCCTTCCACACCGCCTTATATCCCAGAATATCAAGCAGAAAATCCCACAATATCTGGTTTGAACTGGGTTATCTGAGTCCACACTCAGATAATGTGGGAGTTCATGTCTTGATATTCTGGGATATGGGGCTGTGTAGAAGGGCACAAAGAAGACTACAAGTTACTTTTTGGCTCTTATCCTCCAACCAGCAAGGCCTTCGCCCCAACCCCATTCAAAACACTCCAAGACAATTTAGTATGTACAGCAGCCATAACATTGAAAATCAGTTGGAATATTGAGTGTTTATATGAAGCAGAATACAGTATAGCAAAAGCAATATGAGCTTGTGGTAGAAAACAGGAGTGAAATATTCAGGAAGCTCTTGTAAGATTACAAAAAGGAAGTGTTTGTGTGCACTGTTCTAGGAAATCCATCTTGGATAGGAAAGAAGATAGACAAAAGAAGGTTTACTATATTTGATTAGAAGAGACCCTAAAGCGGGCTCTTATATGTGGATGTAAATCATCCTCGGGTGGGAGTCCCATGGATGCTCCCTTCCTAGGCAAAGGGAGAAAGGGAGTAACTAGCTAACTTTGGAAGAAAGGGGAAGTGCCACAAAATGACTTGAACACATAAATCAAAGAAAGGGAAACAGAGGTGAAAGAAAATGCTTTCTTCAAATACAATGTTTAGCCTCACAACTCTGTGTGTTTTATGAGTTCCATTTAAATGCTCCATTCCTATTTTATCTCTTTATAGTTTATTAACTCTTTTTATCCTGAATATGTGGCCCAACCATTGTCATCCTTACTGTGATTGTGTTTATTGGAATGTTTATCTTATGATTTTTTTTCCTTTTAATGTTATTTTGATGATGATGATGATAATGTTTGCTGTATATATGTTGATTTTATTGCTGTATTATGTTGTCCAGGCTTGGCCCCATTTAAGCCGCACCGAGTCCCCATCGGGGAGATGGTGGTGGGGTAGAAATAAAGATTATTATTATTATTATTATTATTATTATTATTACTCTTCACTAATCATTTTTACACAAGCTTTAGGCCTCTTTGCTTCCATCAGGATCTTGTTGGACACAGAAAGCCTTCTTTGTAGTTTCTCCCAGACTCTGCAACTCCTTTCCTAAAGGAAAGGTATTGCTGGCCTCTTCCACACAGCTGAATAAAATCCCACATTATCTGCTTTGAACTGGGATGTATGGCAGTGCGGACAGAGGGCCCTTCCATACAGCCATATAATATGAAGGCTGAAAATCCCACAGTATCTGCTTTGAACTGGGTTATCTGAGTCCACACTGCCATATATTCAACTTCAAAGCAGAAAATGTGGGATTTTATTCAACTGTGTAGAAAGAGCCTCGGATAACCCCATTCAAAATAGAAATTGTGGATTATCTGTCTCAGTATTCTGGATTATGTGACTGTGTAGAAGGGCCTGTTGTGGCACCTTCTTTGTTTTGCTTTCATCACCAGGTGAAATTTTTTCTATTCCAGCAGGCTTTTGGGAAGTGAATGTTATGCAAGAAAGGGGCTTTTCAGTTAGCTCCTATTTTTATTCTTTGGTTATATATCAATGTTTAATTGACTTTGTGATAAATTAAGTTAATGCTATTTCAATCAGAATTTTAATATGTTTTAGCCACCTATATTTTTCTTGTTATTATCAGTCTTTTGTAAGTTCCAGCTTTGGAGAGAAGGGGGTGGATGGATGGGAGGGTAGAGTCTGGCAACATAATGTAACTCTTCGGAGGTGACATTGTAACATCAATGCTTTGATCTCTCCTGCTGCAGACACATTTTATGTTTGATGAGTTTTTAGACTTCTTCCGCAATCAGTGGTGCATTCAATGCAAAACAAAAAGCTAATTGGAGCAATCAAGTACTTTATGCATATCAAAATCACATCAGTGGTAATGTAGCACAGGGGAAGACTCTGGTAAATAATGCAGGTAGGCTTTCCTGTTATGTACAGACTGAGATTAGTCAAAGTCTTTAAAGTATAATAATATCAAAGGGATGTAAGCATGTTAAAAACAGTGCCAGAATGGACAGAAGAACACTGTAATGATGATCATACAGATATATTGAAGTTGATTCTGCACAATCTGATATGCAACTTGGCTTTCCTTTGAAGATTAAGCCATACAGCTGTGATGATTTTAGAGGCAGTGAGCAGAGAGAGCTTTTTGAAAGAAAACTTGTTCCAAATTGCCCAAATATTGGATATCATTTCTTCCATCTTCGCCAATTACAGCTGATAGAAACTTGTCAGTGGGAAGTGAAATCATCTTTTCATTAGACGCTTAACTGCCAGCAGATAATTATTCCAATGGTAAATCGCTAGTATGCCACTGTGCGTAATGGTCTCATTCAAGCTTTCAATTAAGTCTGCCCATTAGTGAGCCACTTTAGTGCCTCTAGGCTTACAACATTTATCTTGGGAGTGGTCTGCTTTGTAATACCAACATCCCACATGCATTATTTTTGGCTGCTATTGTCCTGAACTGGGATGAGCAGCAGTACTTGCTTTGAACTGGAGGGGATGCCTTCCCTTTGCTCAGTTCACAAACTGCCAGTGATGAAGCTATGCTTCAACATTAGGACAGACAGCCCCATAAGGCTTTTACCCTGCACACACTTCGTGGGGATTTGGCAGTATTACATTTCTGAGTAAATGTGCATGAGACTGCCTTCAAAGTTTGCCATCTATGTGCCCAGAGGATACAGGAAGACTCTTGATTAATTACAGATGGTACTGTATGATGGTGAGATAT